AATTATGTTTTAATCAAAGCAAAGAGACTAAGTGACAACGAGTCTCTTGTGGAACGAAAACTACTAAATCACTGTAAAGTAGCCTATTTGTCGGAGTTCCATTTGATACATTTCGGAAAGAAACTTAACAGTTTAGGTCCACCCTCACCGTTCCTCCTTTGGTCTACTAGAAAGTCCGTAACATTCCATCTTGATGTCATTGATTTACACTACACATTCGCACGAAACTCTTCGCTTCGTCATTCCTAATGCACGTGGCAAAGGAATAGAATAGAGAGGCGACATTTGTGTCTCTAAAGCTACAATTTAGAGCTATTCAAGGCTAGAGTGAATAGGCATTGACTAAACAAACCGTAACATCATCGACCACATCCCCCGTCGCTAAACATCAGGGGAGATTGCGACTAATCGTTCATTTCACGACATAGGTATGTACATGGTGTTTTTTAACACGTCGTGTATACTTTGGCTTGCCATAGGAAATTGGTTAATAGAGGCATAATACTATCTAAGTAATATCTATCTAACAACAATGTTTAACGAAATTTTAAACGAATGAAATGCCAGAATATTTCATCTAACAATTTAGCCACGTAACGCCTAGTTTTGTTATTTGTTCGACGAGGCATGTTGCCGTTGACGTTGTCTCTTGTCATGATAAAATGCTTACTTAACAACTGTCTCTTTCAATCCCACGAAAAAATTATCATGTTCCCTATCTTTTCAATTACGCGAATTAGATCGGTAAGTCAACAAGATTAAGACCTAGGTCTGATAGAGTTAGAATAATTAGCAATACACAGGTGCAAGCGGGAAAGGTAGACTGTGTCGTCGTGGTGGTAAAGAGTGTAAATTGCATTATTGCTTTAAGATAAGAAACTAATACCAATAGTTTGACGTCCTATAATTGGTCGTATTGTGCGGTTTGGCTTTGATTAAAATAATAATGGCGGAGACGATTTGTTTATGCTAGTGTTTTTGTATTTGGAAACAATTGTTTCAGTGATTTTCTGTGTTTTCGTTGATTTATTTTTGTACAATCGTCTTTATGTTGAAATATTTGTCTGGCCCGGCTTGTCTAGCGACACTCGTCGCCAATGATACCTATAACTTTTGTTGACTTACATTGAAGACAAACAATTATCATTTTTTGGTCTTTTCATTCGCTAGCGTAAAATGTTAAATTTTGATAGAATTTTCTACACCAGCGGCAGCAACCAAGCAGAATAATATAGTTGCATGAAAGCAGATGGTAAAAAATGGGGAGAATGTTGTTTTTTCTCAATGTAGCTTGTGGTTTCTTACTCCGGTTTAACATACGTTTGTAATGGATTATTAAAAACTAAATTTATATCTACTCGATTTTTACTGTAGGTACTACTTACTTACGTATTTTTCGGGAAGTTCTAAAGGTATATAGCGCTGTCATCAAACCATAAATTCGAACTTGTAGCGTATATTTTGGCTCAAAATGCTTTTGTGATCGGTCTCACAGTTATTTTCGAGCGTTTCACTCTGTTGCCGTTCGTCGGGAAATCTGAAGATATGTCCAGTGTATAAATATCAGAATTGAAATGAAAGGAGAAGTATTTACAAATATTATAATTTAAAATTTATTATTGCTATGTATTTCGATAAGATATCGATAAGGTATGAAAACACATAGCAAGTCAAATACGTTTCCGTTCCGGACGCACGAGACCAAAACAAAGTGGTAATTGATTTTAAACGTCCACATCGCACGTTCTGCGGAACGTCAACCAAGATATTTTATCTTCAATATTATCGGTATAATAAAAATAGTAATCCAAGTAAAGATTACCAAAAATTCCATTAAAAATACGGATTAGAGTCTACGTGGATATTATTGAGTAGTGACTGACAAAGATTTAAAACAACAATTTGCTCGTTATATAATAATTGTTTCAATTATGTCACATGTTTCAAATATGTAAACGCAAACTGAGAGACTGCGTGATGGATGCCTTGCTAGAAAAGTCGGTGATGTGTCATCGCCCCGGGGATCCATCAAATATGCGACACAATATGTTAAGAACAATAAAAATGTTATAATTATTAATGCCAAGATCGAACACTATGAAAAAATTCCTTCGATCCGGCTGCATTCGAACCAGCGTGTTTCAGTAAACCGTGCTTGACGCTATGCCAACTAAGCCACGGAACGAACAAACGGACCTTACGAATTTTTGTATGTGATTGTTGCAGATATTTGTTTCTAGTTTTTAACGAAGTTTTTGCCGTATCGCCATCTATGAGAAATCTATTTCATCATCATCACTCAGCCAGGCATCTTTACAGCTACCAGCGATTGACTATAGATGGATGAATTTCACTTTTCGAATTTCAATGGCACTTTTTGAGTGATTTTTGTAAAACCCTTTTTTCTTTTAGTTTTAAGGTCTTAAACGCACAAATAAGTTCAAACAATGTCAATAATTATAAAATCACAGAAATATTTAAGTTAAATACACAAAAAAAAACGATATTTTAGGTCACACGAATGAGATTACAGTAACACGAATGATTTTCTCATAAACATAAATGAGAAAGACGGCACAGTAATGAGACATTATTATTACAACACACATTTTATCGTTCACAAAAGAACATTTAACAACATTGAACATGTAACAAATATTTTAATATAACTTCTATCAAAATCCTTCTCATCCGTGTAAAACCATCATCTATGTGTATGTAATTAATAAATAAATCTAAATAAGTATTTTGTTAATGTCATATAAACTTTGTTGTACATCAATATATCATCATCACCACCATCAACATCATCATCATGATCACCATTATCATCAGCATCATTACCATTCACATCATCATCACGATCATCGCCATGACCACCATCATCATCATCGTCGTCAGCACCGTCATCACCACCACTATCGCCATTTAATTGTTATATTTCAAGTAAATGTTTGGCTTAAAGTAACTATTTGACTTAAAAGTAGACAAGAATGAGAGCGACAATAACGATATTTGGATACATTTTTATTGTCAAGTGTGTAAAGTATGCTGGACAGTTATAAAAGTGCATGGATTTTCAACTTCCCTTTGTCTAATTGATGTACAATAAAGTTTATATAACTATTACTTAATACTTATTTAGATAGATTGCTTTACACGAATGAGAACGATTTAGTCACTAGCATTGAAACTGGTATTTAAGTCGATTTTTTTCTAAAACGGAGATGCACAGGTTACTTCACTGTGTACACTCCAGTCCGACAGGAGCCCCTTCTCAAGTGTGCGAAGGGTGAAGGTGATGTGGTATGAACTTTTGCTATTAGGAGGCTTTTAGTTGAATTGACACTAATGATAAGAAAAATTTAAACACATTTTGTATTCCCAAGAAAACATGTTTGTTTATAATAAATGGGAAAGTATGTATTCGACGTGTAAGTTATTAGAGTTTATCCTCGATGGGAAATATTGCGATTTCCACGAGTGTTTAATTATTTTTCTTCTTTTCTTAATATTAGGGCGACGTGGAACCGGCTCCCATGAATGAGAAATTGCTCACTTTTTTAATTGTTATTTATTACTGTGACGTAGTAAAATAGTCTTTTTATGTGTAACACAGACTAAGTAAGCAAGCAATCATATTAAATAAATAATGCTTAGCATTCATGTAATAACATAACAGTTATTGAAACGGACACATCACACGGAAGTTATCTGAAAACGACCCAGATGTCGTTTTCGTGATTGTAATTTTTAAGTTTTTATTCAATGTGACGGAGTTTCACCTTAAAAATTACAATAATTAAAGCATTATACTAACATCCCAAACAACAACCTTTGTGCCATGACTTTTAATAATTCAACACATTTTACTTTCATTCAAAAATACACATATTGCATATTTAGACGGTAATAACTCTGCAAAACGCGGGAGCGCGGGTTGGGGTCATCGGAGAAGACGTTTGCACATATTAGAAATTGCTTCCTTACCCCCTGTTCACACGGCATTGTACTGAACGTTTTTTTACAGTATACATCTTACCAAATAAACAGTGGCGCATTCGTTTCATATTATAGAACCGTTCACACGGTGTTTGCCCTTTAAAAATATACGCACACAGTTCTATACGTTTACCAAATAAGCAACAAACTTGTCAAACAAATCGAATGAACTTTAAAGCCCCTTTTTTCATAATTTTTCAGATTTTCGTACAATTTTTCAAATGTGTTTGTACGCACTGCTTCTCGATTCATTGGATGAACCAAATACCTTGTGTTCTTCCGGCGACAAAGCCGTTGGCGTCTTCTATGCCAACATAAAAGTGCGTTCGCAGGGCGATTGCTGTGTGAATACTGCGGCTATCCGTTTTTTGAAACGCATGAAAATATATCGTGTGAGCACCTAGTTGTCTATAATCGAATACGTTAAGAAACGTGCAGGACAATGCCGTGTGAACCGGGGCTTAGACCACAAATTCGCAGCGGTGCGTGGTGTATTTAGCGGACCTTGGGATCTTTAAAGGACCCGTGTCGTTGGATGGTTTGCAAGCACAATTACACGAAATTAAGATCCGAAAAAATAGTTTCCGATGCCTTAGTATTTTTCAGAACACTTGAAACATAAAACACAATTATAAAAATTACAGATGTAGAAACACTTACATCTGTAAACATTTTCTTTGACCTTACCATCTTTAAGCCGAAGGTGCTACGAAAGCCCTTCAACATCATGATATTTCATGAATGCGTGCCCGATCGGGCCTAAAAAAATTTCATTCAAATTAACGATCGGCACTCATGGCCATCGCCAATCACACGCCCCGAGCAGCGTGCGCCACGTCGCCAGCTGACGGTGTGACACACTTCTCATCTGCTAGTTACCTCTATAGACAGTAACTATAGCTTTATAATACTTGCCAGAAAGTCTCGTCATATTAGGGATCCTAAGAACACAGTTTCAACACTGCAAACTTAATATTTGTTAATTTGTGTTTACGATGATGACGATGCTAGAAAAGTTGAAGGTGGAATCCGAGAAGACTGGCCTTAAAATGAACATTGGGAAAACTAAGATCATGATCAACATTCCTGAAGTCAGAAACTTCCAACTTCCCGCGGAAAGACTGATTGAATACATATATTTGGGACATAAGATTATACTGGGCTTTGAGAACCATACAGCGGAAGTGGTACCGATGATCGCGCTGGCGTGGGCTGTATTCTATGCCAACAAACAAACGCTACGGGGAAAAATACCCCATCTCAAAGTCAGTCTTCGAGCAATGCGCAGTGTCATGCCCGTGCTTGTCTACGGTACGGAAACCATGACTCTTGCACAGAAGTCCGCCAAGATGTTCCAAGTCGCGCAAAGAGGCGTGGAGAGAGCAATGCTCGTCATTTCGCGACACCGAAAAGGTAACGCTTAGATTAGAAATAGGACTAAAGTTAAAGATATCATGGTTGTCGTGGCGAAGAAAAAGTGGCATTCGCGGACACATTGCGAGAATGGACGAGTGGCGCTGGACAAGGCAAGTACTTGAATAGAGACCCCGAGCGGATATCAGAGGGCACGGCAGACCACCGCAGCGCTCGATGGAGGACATCCGACGACACGGGGGTCGGGACTGGATAACTCGGGCACAAGATCGTCAAGAGTGGAAGACGAGGTTTTGTCTTCTGTCGCACCTTGAAGACAACGACCTCCTCAGTGATCGCCGAGAATTCCGATGAGGGCAATCTACTGGGGATCTTCTTGTATATGCCTGTCACATGTGGAGCGAGTCTATAGAAAAACAAGGCGAAACACTTGCAGTGTCTTTAGACATTACTAAAGCTTTTGACAGGGTCTGGCATGCAAGCCTTTTAAGTAAGCTTCCCTTTTATGTTCTTCCCACTGATCTTTGCAATTGGGTCTCGGATTTCTTGAGCGAACGTTCGATTCAAGTAGTCTCAGAAGGCTACTCTTCCGAATATATGGCGATACATGATGAGTTCCTCATGGTTCCGTACCGTCTGCAAATCTCTTTCTGCTGCATATCAATGATATTTTTCAAGGCGAGAGTGAATAAGCATTGTTTAACTGTGCATGCTCCATCGTCGACCTCATCGTTACTTTCCATCAGATGAGATGGAGGTCAAATGCGAACTTACATTTCATAAAAAAAGAGGGAAGAGGCCTACATCCAAGATTGGATCAAAAAAGGCCGCCATATGATGATGATCTTGTGTTATCCATAAACTGCAGGTAAGTATAGAAGACACGAGGCGGTATGAGGAAAATACAAGGATGATGTGACTACGCAAATTTGCAAAGCCGACGCGTCACCGCCAAGAACAAACTTTTTTTGTACTCAAGCGAATAAAAGAGAAACGAAGCAAAACGAAATTCGAGAGCAATCAACACTTTAGGCGACACGTTTTAAACCCTTTTAAGCGTCACATAATGTTCGGGCAGGCTGGGGCACGACGTTTGCATCACGCGTCGTTACCCCGCCCTGTTCGCGAATTTTAATTACTCGCACAGAATACTTGCACACCGCAACACACACACGTGAGGAACGTTATTAATGGACCACAATTAAGCTATAAAATTCCAAGACTATTTTTATTTGGGTGAAGTTCCTTGGCCTACCATTTCTCTCGTCTTAATTAAACGAAAAGTAAAGCCCGTTTTCTTGCGGGCCAATTTTTTTTCCTCGTAAGACGTTGAACAAATATTTTCATAGTAAAGAAACTATTTTTCCGGATTTAAATCGCGTATATTTGTTTTTCAAACAAAAATTTTTATAGTATATATTTTCATAGTATTGAGAAAAGTCAGCTCATGAAGCATTCAAACATAGAACGCTGTTTGTCTTTGGTGGGACTGGTGTGGCTAATTTAAAAAAGGCTTCGTTAAAGTTTTAGACTATCTTAAATGTTATTATTTCCCGAATCAATTCAACCGGGAAACGATGATTTTTAACATTCTAAACTTTCAGCCACCAACTTTTATTAAAGTTTCAGACTATATTATGCCTAATTTATTTCAAAGAACAATTGGGTACAATATCTTTACCATAATCTTCAAAATCGGTATTTATTACTTGACTGAATAAATTTCATTAAGTCAAAGGATTTGCTTCAACGTCAAACGCGAGATTAGTTATATAAGTTACAAAAAATTTAAAAAATATTAAAATAACAATACTAATTTAGTAATAATTTATTTATTTATACATAAATTAAAATAACACTAAACTACTGAAACGTAAGATAACTATTCTAACACATTTCTGAATGTGTCATTGCCGTAACTAATACGCGTCGTACATTTGTGTTTGCAAGTATTTTGTCTACCTATATTATTTTAAACTGACTTCAAAAAAATGAGGAGGTCCTCAGTTCGACTGTTTGTTTTTTTATGTTTGTATGTTACGCGATAACTCTGATATATAAATTTATGCGATAAGCTGAGATACAATTTTTTGTGAGCCAATTTCCTTTCCGATTTCTTTTTTTGTTGGAAAGAAGTGGTCCCATTTAAATTTTAAGAAAATATTCCACCTCTGAGGGTAACAAACTAGAGGATGAATCCGGTTTTCGGCAACCGATTGTTTACAAAAACTTGGCAAATAGATGTAATTCCACGAAATTTTGAGGTCGGTTTTCTAGTATTCTCTGTATTGAAATTATTGACTTGTGAATGTTACTGCGCTTTCTCGATATTTTAAGTTTGACTTAATCAAGTTCCTCAATAAGTGAATTGGTACTTCTGATGAGAGAGATACTGACTAGAGTAAATAGGTATTTCTAATTAGTAATAGTAAGCTGCAGAGTGGGTATGTGCAGACGCAGGTCGTTCCACATGATTCGCTTGCTGGAGAAATCAAGAACTCATCGCAAAGTAGTCCACGCTCGGCTCACTCTGTTCGCACACGCAGTGAACTTCCATTACGACATCGTTTAGGAAACCCTGTTGATCTCTCACATCAACAATTATACCGTGAAATACGCGCAAGGACTCCTTCCTGTTGTGATATTTACAATCGCAAAAACTTCGGTTGAAGTATCGGGAAGACTACGGAACTCAACCCGCATTTCTTTGTAAACTGAAGAATTTTATTTTATGTACCCGATGTTATGACATATGTGTCGATTGACGTCCTATACCAGCCACTCTCAAGTTGGCTTGAGATCCAATAGATGTCGCGTTTCGTTCCAGGATTTATTGTCAGATCGCTACTCATTTTTTTTCCTCATTTCCATTAGCGTTCATGTCATTCTCTTCCCCTTCACGCGACTGCATTGATGAAATTACCAAATAAAATTGAGTCTTTAACGAATTGAAAAAACATTATTTCGATTACACATGAAGAGCTTTGACTTTCGAAATATAGTTTAATTTGTTTATTCTTTTCGTCGTAAATTGATAGGCTATCTTCTCATTTGTTTGAATGTGTTTAATGCAGTGTGAAAACGGCTACCAAAGACGAGTAGGTAATTGCTTCAGGCCTTGAAGACAATGGGTTAACCACGGCAAATTGTGTAACGCGAGCCTCTTTGTCGAATCGTTAAATCCCCGACGTAGAGGAAGAGTTCCACTATGTTCATATGCAATGTTATTTAAATTGCATCTGCAAGTAAATAGACTGCTTCATACTTATGAAAAAACTCTCTTATGTAGATGATGCATATGTTCTTTCACTCCGAATATTACAAAAGGAACGGAAAGGGTAGATGGCAACAACAGGCTGGTTGGCAATCAATCAATAACTAATAATTACTGTATTATTTCTATACTATTTGTAATGGCTATCAATAAAGTTATTATTATTATTATTAAAAAGCTCGTCACACATTACAGTAGCGAATGCTACTTAAAAGTTGTTCGCGACGATGTTGCGAAGTATTTCGAGGGTCGTTTATTTCGATACAAATGACCTAGCTTATTAAGGTTATACAGTAAACCGCACCTTTACTACGTTAACTATTACAGTTTTACATGAAATTCTGTTTTAGGTTTGTCCACGTGGAGGTAAAGTAGCGGTTCTGTTGTTTATAACTTCTCGGGTTTTCTAGAAACGCGTCGACGTGCATTTACTTTTGTAAATTAATTTACGTTAGGTACACTTAATCCGTAGTGGTCAAGATGGGTTATAATTGTATAGTTAATAATTAACGATGAATAGACAATACATATATATATATATACCACTTTTAATGTTTCTATACATTGCATTGCACCCATTTTTTTTTTCACAACAAGTACTTCACATGAAACAATCATATTCAGAAATTTTTTCTTTCAACAAACAGAAGCCTCCACTTATACAACAGCCAGTATAGCATTAGGCATTATTACAGTTATCTAGTTTCCCATTTTCCGCCGCCCTGTGACTCATTGAACAGAATTTTTCAATTTCCTCCCGTCTCGAGTAACGAAGCAATTTGGATGCTTTATACATTTCACTGCGGTCAGTTCTAAATTTTATTTCTCGCTTCACGAACGACTTTTGTTTTACGAAGCCCAACTGTATAAAAACGTAGGGGCTTATTATACAAATAAATTACATTTAACATTTTCAAGTCAAGCATCAAAATTTTCTTAGAAATTACAAGTTTAGAATCACTTTTCAAATTTAACTATCCTAAAACTTGGCGTTTGATGATCAACTTTCAAAGCAGAATCGCTATTAGAATTGTCTTCGCTAAAGGACTTTTACAAGAGCAGTAATTCAAACATGCCAGTGATTAGTTGGTAGTCAGCAGAAGCTCACAGTCAATTGGTTCCGTACGATCCAGCAGCAGTGACTTGGAATTACTTCCGCTCGACGAGGCCTCTTATTTAGCGACTATTAATTGGATGGAATATTGATCTCGGCTGTGTTTCTAATTTTAGATCATTGACTAATTACTTGTTCGCAACTTTTGGGTATTGGCGAAGTTATTTCTAAAGTTAAAGGAAGGGGAGGGATCAATGTAGATCTTCCAATGATGGACATGGTGCAGATGATCTTCGTTAGTTCTTCTGAGAGTTGTCTGGTTTTGAGCTGGAATGGAAAGGGCAGAAATAGGAACAAAGTTTGATGGAAGTCTTACGGAGTTATTTCTATCATCAATACACGTAAATTATCACTCTTAAAAATATATAGAATATTAAGTTAAAAGCTTAAAAAATTAGTATCAACTATACTATATCATTACGCAGCCTGACATTCCGATTATTCTACATTAACAAAAAATAGCAAAATGCAAAGCGTTGAGGCGAAACAATGCAACATAACGATAAGAATCATAACGCTCGATCGAAACTGAACCGGTTCGAAACTCCAGTTACGGTACGGCGCAAGGTCGCGGTCAAGAACACTGGATGGGAAACAAGGATATTCCACAATACTCTTTTTGTTATTAATGTGGATATTGGGAATACTTGCTTCGATTAAAACCAATCGACTTTTCCGTCGGACAAACACAGTTATCGCTGGGTGTACGTACGCCGCTAAAAGTGATAAAGCAAAAGAGTTGCGCCCAATTTCATAAACGTCCATTAAAATTATTGACCTATTAGGCCTCTAGTTTTACTTTGTTCAAGTGTAAGAGAGTATAGTGCAGTAATTAATAACACATTCCATTTAAATCTACTTTGTGAACAGACTGTTAAAGTTAGCCTTTATTGATGATTACGATTATGCCATAAAACAGATAATATCCGTTTCACGTTGAAAAGAAAAATAGATGCTTCAAATCGAGGCTTTCTTTATCCAGACCAGTATGGTCAGGTCCTTCACAACAAATGACGTAATCAGCTACACAAAAGAACGCGAACCCGTCCGTCAGTCGGTCAGCCATACAGCGTCAAAAAAGGGTCACAACAAATGTTAAAGAGAATCTATACGACTCAGTACAATTTTTTATTACAAAAGCGACGACAAATTGTTTGTGGAAGTAGAAGCGAGAAAATTTTAAGATAAATAAAAATGTATCTGGTAAAGAGACTTTAATCAAGTCAAAACCGTCTTAGGGTGTCACCATACTTTATCGACGAGAAATCACATTCGGCCGGCCTACAAAAGATTTACGTTCCATGCAAAACTGCGGTCGATCGGTTTCGAAGTGCGTTGACAGTTCCCTTTCCCATTAAGGGAGTCACCACACTTAGGCTAAGAAATCACGGAGCTGTTTCCACCAGCACCTGCCGCGGCTGCGGGACAGCTGTTTTATTTTTTATTTTTTTATAATATCAAGTGACGGGACGAACAAGTCTGATGGTAAATTACACGCCTGTCCATAACAGTTGCAGTGCCACTCAGAACTTTAAATCGCAAAAACTGTGGGGCACTGCCACTGCGCCGGTCACCCTAAGACATAAGTTGACAAGTCCCATGTGCCTGTAATTTCACCAGCACCCTTACCCTATTAAACCTTACACCTTCCAAACCGGAACACAGTAATGCTGACATCACTGCTTGGCGGCAGAAATAGGTAAGGTGGCAGTACTATCCTGAACGACCTCTTTCACAAGGAGTTCCACTGCTACTATAATAGTCTCGACACCGAAGGTTTGTGCGGTCACAAACCTGCTGTAGCCGCCCAGTTGCGGAACAGCCCGCATACTTGGCGGGCGATGATCGCAAGTGGCGCGGTTATTTACGATGGATAGAGATCGTCACGGGCGAACCGACCGCAGAGTGTACGGGTATCTGACTGCGTCTCGAACGGTTCTACTAGGATCCTGCAGACGATGCGGCTAATAACAGCGAGTAACCGTCCCCGCCGCGGGCTTAAAATGCGTCGTGAAACGTGCTACCAAGTTTTACAAACATATCTACATTCTACGGACGCCGCGGTCCTGCAACCACGGCGGCCGCGAGTGTAAATCGCTCCGGGAATTCTTAGCGTTATTAACGCAGAATCGCATTAAGCCGGTCAGAAAAGATTTATGTCCATGAACATAAGAGCAATAATCTCAGTACAGATTACCAAAAAAACTGACCTCAAAAGTCCGTGGAATTACAGCTCGTTGCCAAATTTTATTGAAATCGGTTCCAGAAAGTGCGCGAAACCGAATTCATCCCCTAGTGTGCCACCCTTGTAGGTAGAATGTTTTCTTTAAATTTACCCCCTTTCCAACAAAAAAAGAATCATCAAAATCGATTCACATATGTAGGCCGGAGTGATCGCGTAACAAACATACAAAAGAAAAACAATTGAATTGAGAACCCCTCCGGTTCTTGAAGTCGGTGAAAAAAGACATTGTGTCTTTCGCATCGGTTCGTATGGACGCGGTTCGACACAGGTCGAAAACGAATCTGCTTCGAGCGAAGTTCCGGGCGCGTCCGTACGCATCCCGACGACGCGTGATCTTTGATGAGTTTAGAAGAAACAACTGGCGCGGCGGCGCGCGAACGGCCGCGTCAATGGCGAATGGGCTTACTGCGACAAGTGTCGTTAAAGATGATCACATCAAAACAATTCCGCGTTAAGAAGTTTGGTGACTTCCTAACATTAAAAATTGTTGAGTCCACACATTTCTCAGAATGACCAAACAAAAATTAATTTTATTATACTTTGTAAAATTTAGCTTGAATACAATGATAAATGGCACTGTTAATATAATAGCGTATTAATTAAAATTTATGTTATAAGTGAAAATCTAAGCAATTTCCTACTTGCCAAATTATATTAAAATATAAAAACAATTATTTTATATTTTTGAGCAAGGATTATTTCGTTCAGAACTAGCTAATGAAAAGTTTGTATTATTTTGAGTTAAGTAGACATATTTTAATTATTAATCATAATAATTCTAAAGACGTTATATTGACGTGTAGCGTTTTAAATTTTAGGTTCAGCAATACTATAATCTTAAATATTTAGTTACAACACTATTGTAATAGCAGTGCGAAATGTCAAACTTCATATGACCAGTGAAGAGTCACTAGAAGTGAAATCGAGAATCGACTTTAAACTATATCGACGGAACCATATTTTAATCAGCGTTATTGCATCATGGCAATTACTTAATTCATATAATTCGAGTTCGTACCACTAATAATGTCGATTAGGCGTGGTTTTTTAATTTTCAGTTCCTCAGTAGATGTATTCGAGCACATTTAAATAATAGTATTAGGTACATATTGGACAAAAATTACAACTTTACCGAAAATAACACTTAGTAGCTTAAAACAACAGACGTATATAAATAAATTAAAATTAATCGACCAGCGTTTTACGGAGTATTGTCAGCAAACATCGTTGTTTATATGATATGCCTGACTATGAATACATAATTAAAGTTTACAAAGAAAATGCTTAGGAGAAAATCGCAAAACTCACCAGAATAAAAAATAACACATTCATATAATAACATTCATACACCCCGCCAATCGCTGGCGTCAACGGCTGAATCGGCTTAATGCGACTAGCGTGCTAAACGGCTAAACCACGATCGGCTGAGGCCGATTCCGTGTCGATAAATGTGGCGACTCCTTTAGGCACAGGAAAATGTGATAAAAAATGACAAGACAACATCCACACATCTTTCTTGTGATATTTTTAGATGATTTGATCTCTGTCTATTACAAAGAAATCTTGTTTGTCGACAGAGAACGGCAAGTATTGTTTTCTTGATCAAATTTGATGCCGGAATTGTCAGATAATTTGAATTTTGTACCTTATACCTGTTGTAAAACCCCTTTTGGAATAAACGTAAAATAGAATGAACCTATATTATAATGTCGGATTTTATTTTACATTTTACATTTGGAAAAGTTGCAGGGGGCAGAGATCGCTCTCTTCGAACTTCGCAGTTCTGACAATCCCTGTAAACACGTAGCAAATAAGATTAATTGACTCGATCGTCTCCAGAGTATTTGTCAAAAACAAATCCCGAATAAGGGAAACATGTTCGGAGAAAACGAACTCCTTGCGGGAACCCTCGCGTGTCGACGGACAATTTCCCTTTGATGTCTGCGAGATTTTCCCATATCACGTCGCCTTCCATCGGTCTAAAAATCACAAGTTGGCTAGTGGCTCCCAGTTCTTCCCCAGGTGAGTTAAGTGCTCTTCTCCCGGATGTAAAGCTCTTTCATTCGCTTGAAGTCGTTTTATTGCATTACACAAAGTGACTTTACGTTCACAAGGCTGTTTTAAAATTAGGGACGTCCGTTTTCAATCAAACAATTTTCAATAAACAAAGAATATTTCAAGGTAAAGAAAGACACGTCATGGTTCACGCCTCAACTTTTAAAATCGCCTGTTTAATTTATTAGCACACTCTTTGTGATTAGAATTCAACGACTGGTCTAAACTCAACGTGGAAATGTTGTGATTTGTTTTATGACAATATCAGAGAGAAGTGACGAGCGACATACCAATCAAAACAAACACGCTCGCCGGCCGCTCGAATAGCGCGATCCTGCGATTCAGGGTCTAGCTCGATCGATAAAAACAATGAATATAGACGCGCCACTCCGCAGTTAAAACTGTCTCTAATAATTTTCTAATTTGCCTACTACTTTGTCGTACACACTAAGCCCAAAAAAAGTACTGATATTATTGCGTAAATTGGTAAAACAATCAACATTTACGATCGTACCATACATAACCTGTCCAAGTTGAATCTAATAAGAATTTTCAACTGCATTGAAGCGATTTGTGTTCAGTTCTTGACAATATGATGTAAACGACTTACCAGATGCAGGACCGTGTTCACCACCTCTCTGTTGGTAACCTGCCCGACTTCAATCAGTCCGATAAGAACTGCGAATTTCAGGCTATCATTTGTCGTCATCCTGACGACCTCTTCAGGTCTTTTGATATCACTAAACGGTGGCGATTTTAGGTCCGCCATGGTTCGTTTTGTCACTATTCACTGATACACAAATTTATAATCCACACACAACCGTAAAATTCAAGAAAACATTATTTCATCGCCTCACATGATAACACTATAAAGTCGCATTCTGCCATTTTGGATTTATCCGTGTTGCCATAACCAAAATTTTTCTGCCGACTTATTTCATCGGGAAAAATTATGCTTCAATGGAACTCGGGCATCGCTGTTATTGACAAATTACGCTCACTATGAAAGTTATGTTGTTGTGTTTCCCTTATAAGAGATATTAATGATATATATATTGGGATACATCAAATAATCAAAAATACCCCAAAACAACCGAAGATCGTAACCGTTTTTAATTGAACCAACGCGCTGCTGAGCATAGACCTTCCAAATACAATTATGTTTCGTTCACATGGCATTGTCCTGCACGTTTTTTATCGTATTCGATTATAAACAAATAGACAGCGGTACGTTCACATGATATATTTTCATTCGTCTCAAAGACAGATAGCCGCAGTATTTACACAGCAATCGCCCTGAGAATGCGCCTGTAATTAATCCACGCTTCATTGCACTTTTATACTGGTATAGAAGACTCCAACGGCTTCGGCCTAGGTGTAACAGAAGCTATTGAGTTCATTCTATAAATCAAGAAGCAGTGCGGACATACACTTTTTTTTTTTAATTGACCGAAAATCTAAGATGAAAAAAATTTTTCAATTACTGTGGGATGTCCATAAATGGTTTTGACAATTTCTTAAAATGTTTGGAGAATTCGAGTTTACAGTGAGGTTTACAATAACTAAAATACGGATCGGGTCTATTGCTACATAAGGCGCACTATAAGTTTCCGGAACTTGCCACTTACATAAACAATATTTAAAAAGTAATTACAACATTCGAAAATGCAACTCTTTAACTGTAGAATACTTTTTGTTTCATCTGACTGTCACTTGTTTCCACATTGTGGCGTCATTTTAGAAATTGGTTGTCTACATCACCATGAATTTAACTATTGAAAATTTTCGTGGTATGATTTTCTATTTTATGATTTTCTGCGACTTTAAGTGTAACTTAACTGCTCGTCGGAGCTTCGCTCGGCCTCAAACTGCTTTTAGCGATGAAGCACCATGCAAGACGACTATTTAAAGCTGGTTTACAGAATTCAAACGCGGTCGTGTGAATCTCAGTGACGAATTTCATGATGGTCGCCCGTCCACTGCTGTGAACAACAAAAACATCGATGCTGTGCGCCATATGATTAACACAGACAGGCATGTGACATACCATGAGATTCGGGCATCTTTAGGTATAGGCATGAGTCAAATACAACCAATACTACACAAACATTTGGGTGTGAAAAAGCTGTGCTCTCGGTGGATCCCACACAATTTTACTGAGGCTCAAAAAACGAATCGCGTCACTTGATGCAATGCCATGCTTACCAGATTCAACGAAGGGGCCGGGCGTCAAATTTGGTGTGGGACATAGTAACAGATGACGAAACATGGATTTATAGTTACGATCCCAAAACAAAGCGGCAATCGAGCGTATGGGTCCTTCGAAATGAGCCGAAACCAACCAAAGTGGCGCACGTGTAAAGTGCCTCTAAGCGGATGATTGCTTCTTTTTTTAATAAAACTGGACCGTGGCTACTGTTGCTTTGGAGAACCATTGTACCGTGAATATTGATTGGTACGCGACCATTTGTTTGCCGGAAGTTATTGACAAACTCCCTAAAAATACCCGTAAACGCCGTATTATCTAGCATCACGATAATGCCAGTTCTCACACGGCCAGACAGACAAATGAATTTTTGAAGGTGAACAACGTTGACCTTATGAGCCATACCGCGTACAGTCCCGACCTGGCACCTCGTGACTTCTATTTATTTCCAAAAATTAACAACCAGTTACGCGGTCAACGATTTTCATCAACTGAAGAGGCTGTCGAAGAGTATGAAAAATATGTTTCAAAGATGGTCACGGAGGAGTGGCATAAATGTTTTCAAAATTGGATCATTCGTATGAAAAAGTGTATTAACGCTAACTAAGCTAAGAGAATATTTTGAGAAACAATAAATTCATTTCTGACCATTTATAGCATTTTTTTCTTATTCATTCCGGAAACTTATAGTGCGCCACACGTATTCGATAAAAAACGTATAACTTCGCGCCGTGTGGAAGCGATGGTGTAATTTTATGCGCTCCTACTTACAAATATTTGTTACAGTTCATTCGGTTTGCTTGAGAAGTCCAGTAAGCATTCGATAAACGTATTTATCGATACAATATATGCGTTAGTTACAACACAAACACTATGTAAACGGTTCTATTTATAATGTGTGCGTCACTGTTTATTCGATAAGATCTATACTGCAAAAAACTTGTAGTGCAATGCCGTGTGAACGTGTCGCGGGGGCTTACCTTGCTAAGAGCTGTAATTTTAAATACATGCCGAATTGTTAGAAAGTTCATGCAGATAGAAGAATGGGAAATAGGCTTTTATTATAGTACACCTACAACATAGATACAGACCATACTGCATTTAACATAATATGTCAAATTTAATTTGACGAGAAAAAGAAACGGGAAAAATAATAATAGACATATTATATTGGCATCTTAGTACATTTCTAATTTTTGTGATATTTTTCTTCTTCCCCTGTTTTTGTGATATTTTTCTTAACGGCAATACTTTCGCTGATTTTGTTGTTGACACTGCGGTCTGAACTTAGTAATGAATGACACAGTCGATCAACAGTCGATTGGCTTATTCAGTTTGAAAGTGTCCCACACTTCAGTCTACTGCAGTCAGGAGATAATCATGGCGGCGATGGACGTAGAACTTCCGAAAGTGAGTTTTTAGAGTTGTATTTTCTGTAAAAATAGTTATTATTCACGACAAATTACCAAATAAATTTGTTTTCAGAAATATGTGTTAAAAATTAATGAGATATACGGACAGGTCAAGGACACAATTTTCAAATAAATGCGTATTTTTGGGCGTATCTCTTCCCGGGTGAAATTTCATTTTTTATGTGTGTCTCTGTATTCTTCTAAACATTAATTTTCGCTGTTTGAAACGATTACCGTACACATAATTCACATTAAATACATTGCTTTCGATTCAAAGTCAAAGTAACAGTGGGATGATTCATGTTGAACTAACTAACTTGGTGTTTTAAGGATGTTGTTTATAATTGTTTATTTTTAGGCCGAAACCAACTTGAGGACGCTAAAGCTATCAGGGCACGTAGGATTCGACAGCCTACCCGACCAGCTAGTCAACAAGAGCGTGCAGAATGGATTTGTCTTCAACATTTTATGCATTGGTAAGTGATAGATACTATTAACTTATTCAACATGCATAACAAATCAAAGAGACTGAAAACGTTATATTGGGGGTGTACCAGCTTCACCTTGCCTAAAGAGTTAGAGAGAGCCAAGAGAGAGATAGTAGTTTTAACTTGCTAGTATTTTAGTTGACTTGCAAGTGACTCATTTGCCATTAATCAATATTATCATTATACAAGTATGTGCGGTGATGTTCTATTTAAAATATTTGACTTGAAAAGAGACAGGAAGGGGTGTTTACTGTTAGTCATAACATGTTATATATATTAATCTGCCTTACATTAACTATTATGTGGTTATGTTACAAAGTCATTTTAGAGATATCAGTACACACAGTAATGTGGGATATATTTTCCTGAAGATGCTGTCTCTAAGTCATAGACATAAACAGCTGAGTACTTATTCGATTTAGGTAATATATTGTACGCCTGCACAAAGCTCGTAGATGCTATTGTCTTATCTGAACTCCTACCCACCTGCACCTTACTTGACAGCTGCATCTTGCATCACTTGTCTAATAGAAACTATATTGAAGTATGAATAATCATGTGCTAGTGTGTTTGTGTTGATATTGTTAATAAGAGGTACAGTTGGGTATATAATATACTTATGGAAATAAATAAATTGCTCATAAATCACACCAATAATAGTCGTCATAAAATAAGAACCACCTTTTAACAATTTTGTATGTATAATTACTAAATAAAAATAATTATAAAATTCAAACTTTCAAGTGACATAATTCTACTCATAATATGATGTATTTCTTTATTATTATATGACTTTTTTTATATTATTATTTGATAAATAAAAATTTTAATTAATAATTGAAACCTCGGCCTACCTCTGCTGTTATTGTTATCCCTAATAAAGGGCTCATATGTGTAGCATTTTTTTAAATTTAAGACATGTATGCCATATGAATGCAATAAATATATTGAGTATTGAGTAATAATTATTTGAATTTAATAATATTATCAATATCGAGTTCTTAGGTTTTCGCGATTGTTACACATAGGAAATGAAACTATTTTTCCGGATTTAAATCGCGTATATTTGTTTTTTCAAACAAACCGACGTTCGGGCCCTTTACGGGTCCCATGGTCACGGTTGACTGATGGGACCTGTAAAGGGCCCGAAACGGAAAACTATTATCAATGTTAGCATCTCTATCAAAATCAAAATTGGCTAAAAAAATTGAGATTGAGGATGTAACTGTTTTTTAAGATGTGAACTCAAAATTTCATTCTGTTTTGGAATTCGTATGAAAATCACACTTGAAATATATTCTACGACATTTGTATTGTGCTTTACTAAAATTAACGTATTTGTTTAAAACCCAATAAGTTACGAATTGTTTTTTTACTGTGATTGATTCGTTGATTGCATTCAAAGTTACATACTATCGTCTTCCATAGCTGTCAAATTGGACCTCTTACTTTGTGATGACTATAAATGGTGTCAAATGTAACATTCATTCATGTTACATTCATTACAAACACCAGAGTAACGAAATTAATTTCGACTGCATTACCCACAACACCCAGACTAACGGAATTCAGATCATCATGTACATGAATATATTGAATTTGTTAATGTGTCACGGAGATTGAAGTTGCTTTTTATCATAGATGGAATCCTACTGCTAATTATATGAAAATAAGTAATCACACTGAACTAGTTTTGATTTACAGGAGCACTTTAGCTCCTAAGAGGAACTGAGATGTTAGTATGCAATATGTCTAAGGAATAAGCTAATTTTATGGCACGAACAACTTTACAATGTGATTAAGTGCAAAATTCAGTTAATTAAACAAAATTCTCCCTGCTCTAGGTGAAACGGGCCTCGGCAAGTCGACCCTGATGGACTCTTTATTCAACACCAACTTTGAGTCCTGCCCAAGTCCGCATCACCTACCCACTGTCAAGTTGAAGGCACACACATATGAGCTACAAGAAAGTAACGTTAGACTCAAGGTAAGTTTTAAACATTTTCATTAAAAAAGTGTGTAATGGAATTTAAATCAATGACAAAATAAAGGAAGCTCCTTCAGATGAGAAGATGCGGAAATAGGGTAATGTAGCGGAAAATTGGAGTTTCATATGCCCAGCAGTTGGCGGTCGTTTCGTTCGTTGTGCTACTGCTACTGCTATTATATTTATCCTGAAATTCTTGATTCTTAGGCATGTAAAAGTAAGTGCATAGAATGCTTTGTTCATGACATTTCGTTCATGCAGTATGTAATTGTCATTTACTCATTTCAGCCATAAGAAATCAGTTTGAATTTTGTGCAACATTATAAAAAATTTTGTAAATGTTTAATGAAACTTTCTCTAGTGAGATGTCTGTTACATTTAATCGTCGGCTTAGTGCAAGAAGCCATTAATTGCCATATGAATTATATGGCAAAAATATAAGGCAATTAATGACTTCTTGCAATAAGCCGACATAATAGAAGTTACGTTTTGTGAATATTGAAACCTATTTCATCACCTAAAGACAAAACTAAAGCTGTTGCTATATTGCTCTATTTTAAAAATCAATAATTAGTAGCAATAGATAACCCTCAGTATTTGATTTGTGTTATATCGCTCCTTTACAATGAAAGTGACCCAACACAAAATTCAACATTTTTGGTAAACGAAATAATAAGATTTGAAGTGGTATCAATTTTCGTATTATTTCATTACTCTTTGAGTACCAAAGGTGACGGTCCGTCACCGTCCGTCTTTATACAAGGAATATTTTTCTGAAAAAATATGAAGATTTTCGGAAAAGATAAGAATATAGTCGAATTGTCATGTAAGTATACTTTACCGGATTTTTATGTTTATGTTTACCAGCTCACAATATGCGACACGGTGGGCTACGGCGACCAAGTGAACAAAGAGGACAGCTTCAAGGCGGTGGTGGACTACATCGACGCGCAGTTCGAGGCCTACCTCCAGGAGGAGCTCAAGATCAAGCGCTCGCTCGGCGCTTACCACGACAGTCGGCTGCACGTCTGTCTGTATTTCATCTGCCCCACTGGTGAGTGTTGCTAACAGGAAAGTTTGGTAATATTCGATTCAAATGTAAAATATTTCCTTGCAAATGGAAATATTTTTAATTTTGTTAGTTGTGTGATTAGTTGCCAATGACCGGAAAGTAAATCTTGATGCGTGTCGTTTAAAGCTGAAATTTAAGTGCAGTCAGTTCATGAGTTTTGGTCAACACTCAGGTAGAATTATATATATATATAATAGATATTTAATTTTATTTCATTATTTCATTTATAGTCCTTATCTGATATCTGCACAGTTGTTTAACTTCCGATTTATTTATAACTTCTCATATCAAATAACTATATGTATTGGTTGAGTAGTAAAAACGGGTTTCCGTTATATTTCTGTCCTCCGCGTCTCGTTATGGGGTTATCGTATCACATTCGCGCGCACCGAACACTGCTTTGCATGGCAATGAGCTCATGTCAAGGACATTAGATGATTTGTGAATGGGAGTAGGATAGTGTTATGTCCGTTTTCCGCGGAGAAAGTCAACCAGATAACTCATTTTATGTGCCGAATTTACTTCGCCTTTTCACGGAATATATTCGAAATTTCATGTAAAATACGCCAAAAGCATTAAATGACGATTTAAATACCAGTAATATTTAATAAAATGTATTATGTCGTAATACACAATAAATACAAATGTCGTAATGTAAAATGTCGTAATACAAAATAAAAAAACAATACAAGTTGTATTTTATTTTTCTTTATGCTTCCTGCACAAAAGCATTTATTTATTTAACAATACGCTGAACTCCGTCAACAGCAACGGGCTGCCAGGAACGACCCAAATAACATCCTGTAAATAATACAAACTGATATCCGATAACGTTAAGCAACAGTGGCCTTTGTTGAACATTCTTCGCGACGACGCGGCGGCGGACGCCTGCGCGTGAGCCGTCGACACAAAAACCTCGGAACGGATTGCAACTATACGAACAAAGTCCATTCCTCCGCGGTGCATTGGTCGGTAGTACCACTATGTTGCGACATTAGTGCGTGACGTTATCGTCACTTTCTACTTACTTTTCTAGCACGTTCCAATATTCCGATGCCCGCATAATGGGTTGGTTTTTACTAACAAGGATAAACGCACGTATTTGTGCCATAACGTATTTAACTACTTCGCGAGGTTGGACGTTGTGTTCACCGTGAAGCACTTTGGGAAAACACTTGCAATGTTGATCACATCTTGATAAATAAATCCCAGATAGGAAACACGACAATAATAACATTTATTTATTTCGAACATTTAGCTGCTGTTTACAGAACCATCTCAATACAATTACACTTATTGTGTAATTTGCATATGTGTAATGCATTTCTATTCACTTATGTTAAAAATAATAATTACTTATTGGATATTTCTATTTAATAATAGAATAACAATTCGTTGATTACGTTTAGAAACAGTGTTGCCTTTGGGATTTATAGAATTAAAAACCAAAGTTTTTATTTGTTATTTTATGTCTTGTTAACTATTTTGCAAGTTGTACTAAAACCAAGTTACTGTGCAATTGCAGGCCATGGTTTAAAGTCGATTGACCTGGTGTGCATGAAGAAGCTGGACACGAAGGTGAACATTATCCCGATCATCGCTAAGGCGGACACCATCTCAAAGACAGAGCTGCAGAAGTTTAAAGTAATCTTTTCTGGTTTTTTTTGCTACTTTGACCGACGTTAATCATCAGTTTTTGTGTTTTTGTAAATGGTAAGTTTTCTGTTTGTGCAGAATTTACCTAAGTAGGTTCTCTTTTAGGGAGAGTGAATGCAATCAAAAGTGTAGAAGACTTATATCATAATAATATTATTTGATGCGGTACATATTTACGACGTACGTGAAATTAATGAGGTGGCAATGTCGTTTCAATTGTACATAAAAATACCCTAAGTAACATAGTAGATGTGTCACACGGTTTGTGTCAAAAGGGCGAGTTGTATGTTTAATGTAAGAAAGCGCATAACGCATCGACATTCAACTATGCATTAAATAAACTTTGTTGATATTGTGGTTGTACCCTAGTACTTATTGGGAGTAGGTTGCACATGTACTTTCAAGGCTGTGCTTCGGTATAACGAGTGGGTGTGGGTGGACAAGATTGATCATATGACTCACTTATTGTTGAGAGTTTGAATTGCATAACATAAATATGTAAAGAAAGAAAAACATTACGTCGTTTATTTACACGTGTTTAAAACTCGTCTTTGCCAAATTCGCGGCTTTTGAAAGATAATTTGCCCGTTTGCCAGAACGACATATTATCTCGACCCCTCCTACGTAAAGGATCGTATGTCGAAATTGCCAAGTTTACAGGGGAGTATTTTAAAGTTCTGAATTCACTCGGTACTCACATAGAGTGATCATCTAATAGATCATCATAGATCATCTAACCGATATCTAGAATTTTTTTTTATAATATTCTATGTGATTAACGAGCTTTGCCGAATAAAATTGAGAAATGCTAAAGTCACGTATTATGCTTATTTCAGTGAATTCAGAAGTTTAATAAACTTGGCAATTTCGACATACGATACTTTACGTAGGAGGGGTCGATATGTGAAACATCGACATATACACGCAAATAAGACGTTCACAAATTGAAGTTCATTTTGAACGTAAGACACGATGCTCGTAACTCCCTATACGCCCCCGCACACTTTTGATTCCCCACGACTTCGGAGTTAACATAGGGAACTGAACTCGCAGTCGAAAATAATGCTGGAGCTGCAGTCGAACGGCGTGGAGATCTACCAGTTCCCGGTGGACGACGAGTCGGTGGCGGAGGTGAACGCCGGCATGAACTCGCACATCCCCTTCGCCGTGGTGGGCTCCACGGACCTCGTGAAGATCGGCAACAAGACCGTGCGCGCGCGGCAGTACCCCTGGGGCACGGTGCAAGGTGGGTGCGGGGCGGGGGGCGGGTGGGGGTCGCCCCCGCCCCCGGCCCCCTCTGACGCGGCGCCTCTTGCAGTGGAGAACGAGGCGCACTGCGACTTCGTGAAGCTGCGCGAGATGCTCATCCGCACCAACATGGAGGACATGCGCGAGAAGACGCACGCGCGCCACTACGAGCTGTACCGGCGCCGGCGCCTGCAGCAGATGGGCTTCACCGACGTGGACGCCGACAACAAGCCGGTGCGGCCCCGCCCCCGCCCGCCCCGCGCGCCCCGCCGCCGGCCGTTCTAACGCTCGCTCCCGCGGACAGGTCTCGTTCCAGCAGACGTTCGAGCAGAAGCGCAGCGCGCACCTGGCCGAGCTGCAGCAGAAGGAGGACGAGATGCGCCAGATCTTCGTGCAGCGCGTCAAGGAGAAGGAGGCCGAGCTCAAGGAAGCCGAGAAAGAGGTTCGTACCCCGCCAGGGCGCGTTCCCGTTGTGTGGCGACGACAGTTAGTCGCGTCGGTGAAGGTCCGCGCCCTGTATGTTTAAATGAAATTGTTCACGCCCTTCTATAGTACGACACTATTGACTGCCGTTCACGACTTTTCACGTTACGACGACAACACGTCAAAACAATGGGAAGAGCTACTACGAAAAAATTTTTTTTTTTAATTTTACGGGAACGCGCCCCTGAAGCGCGTTCAGTTGCGTCGCCCGACGACCTTTAACGAGCACCGCGCGGTTTACAGCTGCACGCGAAGTTCGACAAGCTGAAGAAGGACCACACGGAGGAGAAGAAGCGCCTCGAGGAGCTGCGCAAGAAGATCGAGGACGACACCATCGAGCTGAACCGCCGCAAGCAGCAGGCGTCGCAGGCGCACCACACGCTCACGCTGGGCAAGAGCAAGAAGAAGTAACGCGGCCGCAACTGGAAGAAGATACGTTTCATGCGGTTGTGTGGATTCCGAGACCGCCTAATTCAAAATCCCTCTTTAATGCTGTGTAGAGCAGATTGTGTCGACACGAAGCGAACTGAAAATGTCACTTTATTGTTTAATTACAACGCGTCAAACTCGCGGAAACTAGATTTCTGTCATATGTCAGTCGACGACGTATTCATCCAGCGTTGTGAACGGCCGATTTGTAATTCGCGCGCTCTCTCAACTTCTACGAACCGCATCCGTACCGGAAGCGAGTTGAGAGTGACTTTCGTATCTGATACTAACGAAATGAAGTCTACGACGCGTATCTTTCTTTCGTCGCGTTAATATTTAAGGCATTCCTAGATATTACACGAGTTTGTCTACAAAATCGTATCAATCGTAATCATATTCACTTTAATCGAAATCGTACAGGTTTTAATCGCAAATCGTTTTAAAATATTTGTACGGTGAACTTTAATGTTGATTTTAATACGTCGGTCAAATCCCGAGCAACCAGACGCATTCGTTTGGTCGTAAACTATACTTACCAAATGTATTAAGTAATCGATTATTATTTATTATACATCATTATTCGTATTATTTATTAGGTTTTTAAGGACGGATACTCAAAATGGAACTAAAAGTTTTGTGCTTAATGTGTGTTTTGTAGACGCGGTGACAACCATCTCATCACTGTAATATCACTACTTCTATAGACATATCTTGTCTGTAGTAAAAAAAGTTTTAAATGTATTACATGATAAGTGGATAGTATTCTGTGAGAGATACTAGATACTTTTACTTGCGTAGTCGTCGTATGCTGATATTTAATTTTTTATTATGATTTTATTAATGTCTTTTCCTTATTCATAGTATTATTTCCTTGTTGGTAAAAGTACTAATTACTCTAAAATTGCAATAAATTTTTGTCATGTGACGTAAACGCACGATAAAACATTAACTGTCACTGCCTCTATAAAACTGCAATGCTGCAAAAAAAAACTGCAAAAAATTAAATTACACATCTATATCTATAAATGAAACATGTAGTTGTGTTTGTATATTTATTCCGACGCGTCGCCTTCGCCTTCGTCGGCGCCTCCGGGTATCTACACTTACTGACTAGAACACTTTGTTACTGTTCGACTTTCAGCAGAGTGACCCACCTTTGACCGCCCGCAAGCTGCGACAGTTACATCTAATAACAGCTTTAGGCTCAGTATCAACCACTATCTCTTTTACAAAAAGTGGAAACCTCTATTGTTCCAAATACAAACTGACAAATTTTACCCGCAACATACAATTGCGGAATTATAATACTATTTTTTTTACTGATGACAACAACATTGACGGCAAAAGTCAATACTAGCGCTACCATTTCAGGGCTCGAAATGCAATTCTTGTTAATACTATACATACCGGCACATTTAGCAAAACACTAGTTGAAGCCCAAGCTGGTCGGATCGTCCCACTAGGGGTGTGAATTCGTGGGATCATGAGAAAACGGTCTGTCTTACTTTTTATTTGGGCTTAAAAAAAGTTTGTAATTTTTTTTCATTAATTTATTTTAATTTCCTTACTTTACCTTTTATACAGGTTTGTCGAGTAGTTCGAGGTTCACTTTGCGTTCTTATAAATTTCGTAAACATTAGTTTAGAAAAAGTTTTTTCATAAAATTACTATAATGTTTATTTAAATATACATGTTACTTACTATTTTACAATCTCGCCATATTTTTGTTCCGCTAAACGGACGCCGGTGTGTGCAGGAAAGTGTTGTTTCATCGCGTTGCTCTCTATTCGATATCGCGAATGTCGCCGATGAGAGAGCTTTATTGAACCTTGCACGGTTTGCATTTATCCATTCATTCCTTGTGTGCATTTTATAAATAAGATTTTATACTTAATTTTCTAATTACTTTGTGTTACCTATCGACGAGGTATTTAATAAAATCATGAAATCTTACTTTGTATTTATATTTTTGAAATCTCTACCTTTATAGAATTTG